CCGGCTAAACATACACCCGTGATCGATTCGAGACAAAAAGCTGCTCCGATACTTTCGTATCGGGCAGCTAATATAACAATCGATTACAAACGATTTAAATTAATCGATTATAATCGATTAGCTTCAATTTGTATATCGATTAAAATCTCTATCGCATTTACAGCGCTTTGCAAAAAGATGTGACCCCATGATTTTGTGATGATAAACGAGGAAAATTTCCGAGATTCTAAATTGTCTATTAATTCATCTTAAAATCTACAGAATCTCAGATTTTCACACAACATTGTGATCTGCAGAGGTCACATCTTTTGCAAAGCGCAATAATCGACAGCGGTGACGATTATCGATTAAAAATTTAATGCTGTAATGATTTTAATCGATTATAATCGAGTTACAAAATTTCCTGATGGAGTTGCAATTTTGAATGGATTTGCACCATATGAATTTTTTAACCAAATAACAATAGGGGTTAATATTCACTATTCAATCGAATTACATAACCTTAAGGCAGGGCAATTTGGTTATTCATTGAGGAAAAATTCAATGAAATTTAATGGATAAGTATTCATTGAGATCCATCATTAACACCGTAATCAATTCAGCCCTAAGGATCTGTTTCAGTACTTAAATAATACACAATTGGATTTAACTTAATAATATAATGTAACCTCCATTGAAAGAAGTTTTGTAAACGACAAATGACTTATCAGATAGTAATATATCATTGACCGTATAAATGGAAATTATAATCACAATTATAATTCAAGAATAGAAGATAACGCGTCATTGCATGTGTTATTCAGATAAGTTAAAAGACTATGTGACACAAAATTCGTTAATACACGACTTACAAAATACCTTTTATCTTTAGGTTCTCACTAGAGGCATAACTATGATGATTTAGACAAAATTTTGAATTTTAATACAGTAATAAAGGATTATATTTTGAGTTAGTATCTTTATATACACCTACTCTGCGCATATGAAAGTTATATCCTTAAAATACTGTATATTTAACAAATCTAAAGAGGTTGCAATTTTCCGTACACAGCCACTTACATTCGTTTTTTGGATTCGCGTTTACCTTGATTCGGCCGATGAACACGTCATCCTCGGATGATCGCGGATATGTCACATTTATCCCGGGATAATAAGGAGGTTAACGAATAAGATAGCAGATGAATTCGGATTAACCCGATTCAAAGACGATAATAATCAGGATTATATTTCTTTATGAGCATATATGTACATGTTAATAACTTTATGAACACCTTTTAAGCCTCAAAGGATCATAAATTTATTAGCGCGTATATGCGCACGCCAAGAAATAAAAGACCCGAAATCTAATATAAAAAAATTTACCAAATATAGTATATATATAGTATAGTATATATATCGATATTGTCAGGATCTAACGCTAAGCCACATTTATCCTTAAACGTCTTAACGGGCTTACAAAATGTCATGATTTGATCGAGTTATCAAAACTATATTAGGATATTCTAAGATACACTATAACGATAATAGCTAAGTAATAAAATAATAATTGTTCCCTGGAATGAAATATTTTCCTTGGTGGCGTATATAAGGCGTTTCTTATGATGATATAACGGGAAATCGATATTAATCACATCTGTTACATTTTTTTTGGCCTTGTTCAAATTTAAATAAAGAAATAAAATCCGAGCCAAAAATGGAGATTAATATCGCGTAAATTCCGATCATGCGAGATGCTGAATAAAAATCTCGTGATTTTTTATATTTGGGGTATTTACATATTGAAAAGGGAGGTAATTTAATTAGTGGTCCAAATAGTAAACTATAATAAACCTTACGGTAGTGTTAATTAATAGGTGTTCCATAAACAACAACCGTAAAACTTCCAATTGCATAGTAATTCTTTTCTAAGAAGCATTCTTAAAAAAGGTTAGTTAATTTCAAAACTAAAACAATTAATTTTGTAAACTAATTTATATTTAGTAAACCTGAGATAAAACTAAAAAATCGGCCGAATTAATTTTCGATCTGCTGGTAATTATCTGCTCGTTTAATTCGTAAATATCAGGAACTATTACAAGTAACCTAAGATACGAAGTTTTTGTTTTTCGATAAAGCTGACTAAAATTATCTGCTTGTCATCAAAAAAGTAGCCAGAAATCACTAATGGACTTTCGGGTCTCAGGTAATATATTCTTTTCAGGTTGCACGAGAAACAAATAATGATAATCACAAAAAAGTTGTGTATATTTTATACAGAAATATTTGGATACTATGGATTTTCGAATATTATACACAAATCGAAGATTTATTTGTATTTAGTTACCTTGCTCGGACGAAACAGTGACAGATTAGCATTAGTATGAGCGGGAGAGTAAAAATGTAGCCAAAATTGGAAAGTTGGCATCCGAAATAGATTTCGGCCGAAATATTTAATCTAATTATAGCTATAGGAGGAGACACGTACGTACTTACGTACATTACATACAGGTTAATCCAATAATATCGATATTAACAAACTCTACTATAATAATCTACTATCATAAAAATAAATTTCTGATTTTCGATCCTATCACTATTTATGAATTTATGATTAGCTAATTTGTATTAACACTATAAGTTTTCAGAATATAACATTTGAAATAGAATGATTGTGAAAGTCGAAATAGCGAAATTTATCGAAATAGCCGTCCATTTTCATACGTATTAGGTAAAAAAAAAAAGTTTAAATACCCCGAACTCTACTTTAAACGCACGTGGTTAACGGATTAAGATGTCTGCATGCTAGTAAAAATTAAGAATTATCCATGTGTGGCTAAATAAAGATTAACTTTTAATGAATAAAGAAACTAAATCTTAACTTCTTTTTTTTGTCGGCCGAATGACTCCGGTACTATGACAAATGATTTACACAAATGCTAGTAAATTATGTAACTGCATGTATAAATTGAGCAATAAAGTGTTAGTGTTACAGAAACAAAATTATACGGATATGCATATTATACTCATCTCGGAGATTTGTAAACATGTAAACATACATCGTTATATGTCCGTACCCGAAAACGATATCTGTATAAAAGTGCGTGTTCGATGCCATTTCTTTGAAGAATACGAAAATTCAAATCTTATACATAAAATAAAACTAATACTAGCGTTTGTTGTATGAGTGTAAATTGGTTTCCTTTTTGTGACAAATATTATAAACTTATCAGTAAACTTTATTAATTCTACAATTATTAAAAATTTATTATTACTATAATTATAATTACTGCTAATATACTGTAATTAAATTTTCAATCATGTCTAAAATTTCATTTTTCGATATATCCTTATTTCAATTGATAGGCTATGCCTTATTAATACTTCTCGCTAAATTATTATATCATTTGATATATAATTTATATTTAAGTCCACTCAGTAAAATACCGAGTTCATTCCTTTGCTCTATATCAAGTATACCCATAATTTTAAGAAAACCTGAAGGAAAAATTTTTAAATGGTTTTTTTGTTTACACGAACAATTTGGTCCCGTAGTTCGTATAGGTCCTTCTTTCGTTTTATTTTCTAGTAAAAATGCTGTAACGCAAATTCTTTCAACTGATAATTTACCAAAATCTGATTCTCTTGCTGGAATTCGCTCTGATCCTAACTTCCCTACTTTATTTTCTGCTACTGATAAACCTTTTCATCAAAAACGTCGTAAACTTTTATCTTCTGCTTTTTCAATTAAATATATTTCTACTCTTGAACCTTTAATGCGTTCTTGTACAGATGTATTATTACAAAAAATTTCATCTCTTTCTAATAACTCTAATAACTCTAATAATGTTAATAATACTTTAAATATTTATGAGTTGGTACAAGCTTGTACTCTTGATATAATTGGTGAAACCGCTTTCGGTGGTTCTTTCAATATAGTTGAAAAAGGAAATCATCCTTTACCTGAAAAAGTTTTTCAAGAATTAAAAAGACGTGTCATGTGTCATACTTTCCCTTACCTAAAATCTTTTCTGATAAAAGATAATTGGATTGATGAGGTTTGTATTTATTTTTATTTTTATTTTTACTTCTACTTTTTTTTTACTGTTTTATCATATATTAAAAAAGCAATTATTCTCTCTTTTATAAAATTTAGTTCATTTTGAAAATCATAAAAGAACGAAGAGAACTCAATGCTCAAGGCAAAAAACGTAATGATATTCTTCAAACCTTACTTGACTCCAAAGAAGTAACTGAAGACCCATTAACAGAATTCGAAATTCAAGATCAAATTATGGAATTCTTAATTGCCGGTAGTGATACTGGTTCTCTTACAATAAATATGGCTCTGATAATGCTTCTTAATCATCCTAAAAAACTTGAAGCTTTAGTCTCCGAACTTGATTCTCTAAATCTTCATCAATCTTCTTCAAATATAATTCCATCTCATGATTCCTTAAAAAATCTTAAATACTTGAATGCTGTCATTTATGAAACTCTTAGACTGTTTCCCGCTTCAATAGGTGGAATTCTTCGTCAAACTACAAAAGATACAGTGATTGATGGTTACTTTATTCCTAAGGATACTGCTGTATCTGCTTCAATATGGACTGTTCATAAATCAAAGGAAATTTGGGGTCCTGATGCTGATGATTTTGTACCTGAACGTTGGTTAAATTCTGAAAATTTTTCAACTTATAAAGGTGCTTTTTATGGCTTCGGAGCTGGTTCCCGTAATTGTATTGGTGTTAATTTCGCTTGGATGGAAATGAGATTATTATTGGCTAGTTTATTATTAAATTTTAAGTTTGAAATGGTCGAAAATCAAGATTTGGATCTTGTACATTTTATTACTCCTGCTTTAAAATCAAAAAAGTTTCTGGTTGGTGTTAAATCACGACATTAACTTTATTTTATTTGGGTAGATTTGATGGACTTTTTTTTTTTAATACTGTAATCTTTTTATTTGCAATTAATTAATAACGTTAATTATCAATTTCTTGTAAATATACTTTTAATAATAATTATTTCATGTAAAAATTTTTTCTTTTTTTGTGACATATAATTCGAGCTTAATAAAAATTTCTTTTCTTTTTACAAGTATTTGATTATTTTCATTCTC